CCTTCACCCCCACCTCCCTGGCCACACCAGCTGGAGCACAAGGACCCCCCCAACCTCCCAACTGCCACCCAGCACACCCAGCCCCTCAGAGTGTGCACAAGAGTTGCACAACAGCCCCTGTGGTCCTCGGGCTCGGCATGGGGGGCCAGGGCTGCCCACCCCACTAGCGATGCTCTGAACAGCTCCTGGCACTGGAGATGGGCTGAGGGTGGGGCAGAAGATCTGGCTCCTGCCCGACTTCAGTTTAGGATCCAGGGGCAAGTCTGGGAACAGTGTGGCCAAACCCCTAGGCCTCGTTTTTTTTTTTTTTTTTTTTTTTTTTTTTTTTGAGACAAGGTCTTGCTGTGTATACCAGCAGGCTGGCCTTGAATTCATGGAGATCCTCCTGCCTCAGCCTCCCAAGTACTGGGATTACAGGAGTAATGCCACCACATCCTGCTGGCTTTCTTTCTTACTTATTTATTGTCAAAGTGTTTCTCTATGTAGTTCAGGCTGGCCTCAAACTCCCAGTGATCCTCCTGCCTCAGCCTCCCAGGTGCTGGGTTACAGGCGTGTGCACCACACCCAACGCCTGTGGCTTTCTTGAGGCAGAGTGGGCACTGATGGAGACAACTCCTATTGCCCTGGCCTGCCCTGGCACCTTCTCAGTCCCCAGTAGGAACAGAGTGAGGGTGTGGTGGGCATGGTGGGGCAGGCAGGCTGGTCCTGACCTTGCCAGGGCCAGGCTGAGAAGAGCAGGGGCCCAGCACTGAGGCTGCCTCTCGGGGTCCCCAGCGGCACAGGGGAGCTACGGGCAGAGGTGCCAGGCCTCAGAGCCATGCAGGGGCCCTGGGCAGGGTGGGGGAGGAAGGCAGCTGACTCCAGCGGGCAGAGCTGAGTCAGGTGGGCGGCACTGCCGGGCCTTCCTGGCAACCCTAGAGCAAGGCCCTGGGGTGGGAGCTGGCGAGGGGTCCCCTCCCAGGGACCCCACTCTGACACCTGCTGGGGCAGCAACTGTCACCCAGGGCGGGCAGCAGTGCAGATCGGCCCCACTGGCCGCCCACTGTGCCCAGATCCCCTGGGGCCCCTGCCTCGTCCCACCTGCCCTGCAGGCCAATGCCGGCCCAGTCCTGCCCCAGCCCAATCTCAGTCACAGCCCCTGCCCGCTGCTCCCTGGAGCCCGGCCCTGGCACCAACCCTAACCACAGTCTCTCTCCTGCCCCGTCCAGGCCCTGCCCCTGCCTCTCAGTGACCTGAAGGCCCAAGGCCCAGGCCCTTTGGCCGAAGACCACATCCTCGGTGCCAGACCCCAGAGAGGGCATTGGGGACCTCCTTCTCCAAGACCTCTGAGCCTGGGCTGAGACCTGTGCCCTTGCTGTCCAGGCCCCTTGCTGTGCCTAAGCCGGTCGCCGTCCCCCCCCCGCCCTGCAGCCCCCCCCCCGTGGTGGGCCCAGCCCCCCGCCCCCCAGCCCGTCTATAAATAATCCCTTCAGGCCCCACCGAGCACAGCCCCACTGTGGGCCCGGCCCTGAGCCCTCGGCCACGCTCCGGGAAGCCGCTGCCCGAGCCTGGGAGGAAGCACAGACTTCCCACTGATAGCGGTGGGGACGCGGTGGGCACCCAGGGCCTGGCTGGGCTGGCGGAGCAGCCCCACTACTCACAGGGGGGACGAGGGGAAACCCTTCCATCTTGCACGCCTGTAACATCCAGCCGAGCTCAGCGCCGGTCGGGCCCCCTGCCTCGGTGGGGGCCAGTGCGGAGCCCCT